TACTAGTGCTGGAGCAAGATGGTATCTCATTGTTGTTTTGATTTGCATCTCTCTAATACTCTTAGCTATTTCTTGATATAACCCTATAAAAGTTAATGTTAAAGATTATTGAACCATACAGTAAAAAATTTTCCATCTTGTCATTATGTGTTCTTGTTGACTATGATCTAAGTCAGGGATTTTTTAAACAGTGGAACTGTTAACATTTTGGATGGGATCATGTACGATGTTTAGGGGCATCCATGGCTTTACCCACTAGATGCAACTATCATCCCTCCAATTGTGACAATCAAAATGCTCCAGACATTGCCATGTATTGAGGCTCTGACCTTTGCAATCCTTCCTCAACACTGCTACAGAAGTCTAAAACCCTGGCCTCTAATGCCATACTCCCTTCTTCAAAAACTCTCAGTGACTCCTCGTTACCTGCAGACTAAATTGTAAACTCCTAAGCCTGGCATCAAACCCTTTGCCATGTGACAAAATCAGCTTTACTTGAGCATAAGGCTTTCAACATTATATGTTATTTTCTATATGTGATCGGCAATACCACATCTTTTACCAATGTGCAACAATTATTTTTATTACCAGGTTATTATTTTTTAAACATTATTTCTTTTTTATTTTCATTGTAATAATAATTATCTTCTAGTGTATTCATCACTTTCATCACTTTGTACTCATAGAGTAATGAAGTTAATAGAATACCTCCAAAGAAACACCTAAAGTCAAAATTACTAAGTGTATTCATCATCTAGTGCCACTCTAACAGAAAATACCACAAATGGATGGCTTTAATAAGCAGGGATTTATTCTCTTACAGTTTAGGAGGCTAGAAGTCCAAGTTAAAACTGCCAGTGCTAGTGTCTGGTTGAAGGCCCCTTGACCTTGGGCTTCAGCTCTGTCTGTTGCTCCTGGTCCACTGGAGCTGGAGGTGTCTCTTAACTTAGACAGCTGCTGGCTGCTATGGTAGACAAATCCAAGGTCAACAAATAAAATGGTACAGTCCCTAGATATCAAGCCATACGGCAGGTCACTATTTCAAGTCCAAAAAAAGAGTCTCAAGTTCAGCAGAAAACATGGCAGGCCACTGAGATGAATATTTGGCCACATGCAGGATCCAGATGTGCCAAAAAGCTCAGAGACCTTTCTCCAAACGTCTTCTTATGTACTGGAAGCAGACTATATCCCTAAGGCAGCTACTCAGCTGCTCACAGTAGATTCTACCATGGAGTTGATTACCACTCTCATCATGGGAATAACTACATTGGGAATAACTACTACCACTCAAAACCAGTCCCAGCCAAGTTGACACATCACTTTAACTACCACACTAAGTAAAGCCTTTACTGACATTTGTCAGTAGCAATCAGAATTCATTTGTTAGGCAATTTTGCAAGTTTGGTCTGTGGAAGTTCTTAAGGTTAAATGTTAAAAAAAAATTTGTTTTTCTTTACATACTTCCTTTCTCTGAATTTCCATATACTATAAGCCACTTCTATAATAAGCAGGCAGCATAAAATAAAAATATAAATTCTAATAAGAACAAAAGGCACTTATTTTGCATGTAGGCCCACATAAACATTTGACTGCCTTTTTATTTGTAGGCCAACTCTCTGGCCTGTTCAAGACAAGTACTGTGTCTTGCTCATCTTTGTATCTCGGCATGCCTATGCTAGTTTCTGCAACATAATGAGTCTTCCATAAATACTTGTTGAAGTATAATGAATTTATTTATTATATTTAGTGTTTATTGACTGTATTCTTACTAGAGTATACATAAGAGCAGGAATCTTTCTTTTTGTTCAGGGAGGTACCCTGAAGTCTCTTCAGAATCATTTAGAAAAAAAAATGAAAAAACCACTGCCATCGAGTTGATTCCAACTCATAGTGACCCCCATGGTGTTTCCAAGGTTGCAAATCTTTAAGGAAGCAGATTGCCTCATCTTTTTCCTGCAGAGCAGCTGGTGGGTTTGAACTGCTGACTTTTAGGTTAGCAGGCAAATGCTTTATCCGCTGTACCACCAGGGCCTTTCAGAGTCCAAAAAGGCAATTTATTCATTCATCTAATGCCAATTAAGCACCCACGAATTGCCGGGCAATTGTTCTAGGTGCTTAAAATGACATGAGATTTTAACAAACAAATAAGTGAAATCACACAGCACATATTTTCTGACCACTGTGGAATTAAACTAGAAATCAGTAGCTAAAAGTAACTAAATCCCACAAATATTTGGAAATTAAGCAATATACTCTTAAATAACCCATTAATCAAAGAAAAAATATAATGGAAATTATAGATCATTTTGAACTGAAGGATGGTGATGAAAATGTGACAAACCAAAACTTATGGGAAGCAGAGGAAAATGAACAACAGAATTTCATATTCTCATGCTTCCGGACTTTCTGGAGCATGGAAGTGGATGAACCCCTAAAGCTATTGCCCTGAAATACTTTAAAACCAAAAATATCCCCTGAAGTCATCTTAAAACAAAACAGTGGTTAAGTTAGCTCAGCACTTTAGCTTAGCTGGTGAAGAATGTTTGCCTTGAGTATTGTGCTCTTCCAAGTCCATCTGTATGGAATCAAATTGGCAACAGCAACTGGGAAGATTAGACAGGAAACTTAAGGGGCAGTGAGTTCATGTTAATGGGAGAACAACTCAGAAGAGTGGTTGCACAATTCAGAGAATGTAATCAATGTCACTGAATTATACATGTAGAAGCTACTAAATTGACATATGCTCTGTGTATATCCTCAATCACAACAACAAAATAAATAAAATAGAAAAAAAAATTATGGGAAGCAACAAAACCATTGCTTATAGGGAAGGAAATTTGTGTGAATGTGTATATTATAAAAAGAGCAGAGGCTAAAAACCAGTGATTTAAGTTCCCATTTCAAGAAGTTAGAAAATAGAACAGTGAGCAAATAGAATTAAATTGAAAGAAAGTAAAGACATAATAAAGACTAGAAATTAATGAGGTAGAAAACAAATATTCAATTGAGAAGAGAAAATCAACAGAGCCGAAAGTGAGTTATTTGAAAGGATGAATAACATTGATAAATGCCTAGCATTACTGATAAAGGCAAAAAAGAGAGAGAAAAACAAATTATACATATCAGCACTGAAAAAGAGATCATCATTACATATCCTACAGACATTAAAAAGATAAGAGCACATCATGAATAACTTTGTACCACTAAATTTGTCAATTTAGGTGAAATAGACAAATCTCTGGAAAAATACAACTTACCAAATTTACACAAGAAGAAAGAAAATCTGCATAGCTGTATCTACTAAAAAATTGAATCTCTAGCTTAAAATACTCCTACAAAGAAACTCTCAGCTCAGAATGATAATGGTGAATTCTTCAAACATAAGAAAAAAATAGCAATATTACATAAATTCTTCCAGAGAATAGCAAAAGAAGAAATACTTAAAGCCTCATTTTATAAGATTACATAATTTTTCTTGGTTCCAAAACCTTTCTTTGACATTATAAAAAAGTTAAATTATAAACCAACCTTTCTTACGAAAATATAAGTAAACATTCTAAATAAGACATTAACAAATCTGATCTAGTGATATATATGAAAGGTAATGAATCAAAATCATGTTGAATTTATTCAAGAAATGCAAGGTTGGTTTAATATAAGAAAAACAATTGGTATAATTCACCATACTAACAGAATAATGGAGAAACACAATATGTTTGTTTTGATAAAAACCAAAACCAAAACCAAAACCAAACCTGCTGCCATTGAGTTGATTCCAACTCACAGAGACCCTATAGGATAGAGCAGAACTACCCCCATGGGTTTCCAAAGCTGAAAATCTTTATGGAAGTAGACTGCCTCATCTTACTCCTGCAGAGTAGCTGGTGGGTTTGAACCATTGACCTTTTGGTTAGCAGCTGTATGCTTTAAACCCTGTGCCACCAGAGCTCCTTGTTTGTTTTGATAGTAACAGAGAAATATTTTAAATAAAATTCAATAATCATCCATGATTAAAAGCATTTTAGCAAAGTATGAATAGAAGAACACTTTCTTAATGTTATAGAAGGTATATTTTTAAAAACACCTACAGTAAACATCATAATTAATATCAAAATACTGAAAACTTTTCTTCTGATATTGTGATGTCAGACATCTGGTAGGATGTCCACTATCATCACTTCTATTCAACACGTACTAAAGATTGTAAGCCAGTGGAATAAGGCAAGAAATAGAATTTAAAGATAAAGATTTATATATATGTCATTTTTTTTTTCACATGACATGATTGGTTATTTAGAAAATCCCAATCTAGATGAAATATTTGAAATAATCAGTCTTCTAAGAAAATAAACAAAAATCAAAGCTATATTTACTCTAGCTATCAAAAGCAATTAGAAAAGTGACTAAGGCATTTGACTGCTAACCAGAAGGCAGTGGTTCAAACCCACCAGCCACTCCTTGGAAGGAAGATTGAACAATTTACTTCTATTGTGATACTGCCTTGGAAACCCAAGGAGGGGTCGCTATGAGTTGGATCCGACTTGACGGCAGTGAGTTTGGTTTTTTATATATAGATTGCATTTGTTGTTGTTGTTGTTATTTGCCGTCGAGTCGGCCCTGACTCATAGATTGCATTAGGAAACATCAATTGCTTGGGAATAAATATAATAAAAGATGTTTAAGGCCTTTGCATAGAAATCTATGAAACAGTATAAGAAAAATTAAAGAAATAGAAATAGAGGGATATACTTTGTTCATAAATGAGAAGACTTAAAAATGAACAAAAGACCTGATCAGGCACTTCATAAAAGAGGATACACAAATGGCCAGTAAACATAAGGGTGCTCAACATAATTTATGATAAAGAAAATTAATAACTCATACCTCTGTACATTTGTCAGAATAGCTAAAATGAAAGTGATTGGCAATACCACATGCTAGTGAGGGTGGGTAAATTGGTATGATGACTTTTGAAAACTCTGGCTGTTTTTATTGAAATGAATACTTTGATGACCCATGAATTCTATTGCTAGTCAAATACACAAAAGAAGTTTTCTTTATAGGTTATGTCTCTTTGTAATTTATTTTTCATTTGGAATGTATATTCATATCTAATATAGTATATTCAGTTTTTTTTTAGATTTATGAAATCCTTTCACATTGTATATTTTTAGAACTCATCATTATGTTTGTGAGGTACCTCCATGAAGCTGTGCTTTGGTTTGTTGGGTAGTATTTTATTGTGTGACCATACCACAATTTATTTAACTACTATACTCTCGATGGGCATTTATGCTATTATGCATATTCTTAGTCATGAATCCTGGTGCACATAAGCTAGGGTTGTTGTTGTTGTTAGGTGTTGTGTAGTCAGCTAAACTCACAGCAACTTTATGTAAAACAGAAAGAAGGTCCTGTGTCATCTTCACAATAATTGCTACTGGAAGTGGATTACTGGGTTGTAATGGTCTTTGTTCTTGCATGAGAATTTTAGAATTAGTTTGTCAACTTTTATGAAATCCTTGTTGGGTTTTTTATTGAGACTGCATTGAATGTATAGATCAATTTGGGGAAATTGAGATCTTCCTCATGTTGGGTATTCTTGTACATAAATATTGAATGTTTCTTCATTTATTTATTTTTCTTTAATATCTTTCAATAAAGTGCAATTTTTTCTGTATGATTTTTCATATCTTTTACTAGACTTATTTCTAGATGTGTTATAGTTTCGTTTGCTATTCCATATGATATATTGTAAATATGTAAGTTTAATGCACAGCCTAGACTGCTGTAACAAAAAGACCCTCAAAATAAAAAAGATACCTTATTTTTCTCTGATTTCCAAAGGTGAGAATTCCAGGCTGGTGGTGTGGCTTTGCTCCATCTAGTCAGACTCCTTCTACCTAATTGTTTCGCCAATCCACAGGGTTTTGTCTTTGTTTACAAAGTTGAAGCTGGTTTATTGCCTTATCTTCATTCCAGCCACAGGAAGGGGGAAGAGAAAAGAAATCTAGGGTAAGAGCCTTATAATGATAACCGGGAAGTTGCACACTTGTTCATATTTCATTGATCTACACTTAGTCATAAGGTCATGCTTAGCTGCAAAGCAAGCTGAGAAAAATAATTACCTAGATGGACATATGCTCAGCTAAAATTCTGTTATAAAAGAAGGAGTCAAAAGTTTTGGGAGGATGATCGACAATCTGTCATAATTCTTTTTAAAATAAATGTTCTATCTATTACATATATTTGGAAATGTAATTGAATATTTCATTCTGAAATAATAGTCACTCACCTTGCTAAAGCCTCATTTTATTTCTTGTGATAAATAATAGATTATTTCAAGGTTTTATTCAAAATCACTTTTGTTTTGTTTCTTCCTTTCTGAGTCCCCGGCCTTTATTATTATTATTTGTATCTTACTAAATTGGCTAGAATCACCAATACAAAGCTAAATAGAAGTGAGTGGTAGACATTCTTTGACTTGTTTCTAATTTTAAAGAGAATGCCTTTTAAACTTTCTCATTAAGAATGATGTTTACTATAGGCTTTAGGTCGCTACCCTTTATCAAGTTAAAGAAGTTCTCTTTAATTCTATTTTGCTAAGTGTCTTTTTCATAAATGAGGATTGAATTGTATCAAATGATTGTCATGAACTGATTGAGATGATCATATGCTTTTTTTAACTTTTAAATATGAAGAATAACATTTATTAAAAAGAGAATAATACTTACAGATTTTGTAGTATTAACCCATTCTTGCCTTCTTTGGATATGCTCAGCTTAAACAGAAGATTTCAAAGAGCAGCTCGAGAAGACAAATTATTATAATGAAATGTGCAAAGACCTGGAGTTGGAAAACCAGCAGAGAAGAACATGCTCAACATTTCTCAAGCTGAAATAACTGAAGAAAAAGTTCAAGCCTTGATTTGCAGTATTGAAAGATTTTAGGGGCAAAATATTGAATGATGCAGGAAGTGTCAAAAGAAGATGAAAAGAGTCACTGTACCAAAAAGAGCTGGTGGATGTTCATCTATTTCATGAAGTGGCATATGATCAAGAACCAATGGTATTGAAGGAAGAAGTCAAAGCTACACTGAAGGAATTAGCAAAAAAACAAGGTTCCAGGAATTGATGGAATACCTACTGAGATGTTTCAACAAATGGATGCCATGCTGGAGGCACTTACTCATCTGTGCCAAGAAAGTGGAAGACAGCTACCTGGCCAACTGATTGGAAGGGACCCATACTTGTACTCATTCCAAAGAAAGGTGATCCAAAAGAATGTGGAAATTATTGAACAATATCATTAATATCACACACAAGTAAAATCTTGCTGAAGATAATTAAAAAATGATTGCAGCAGTATATTGACAGTGAAATTCCAGAAATGTAAGCTGGATTCAGAAGAGGACAAGGAATGAGGGACATCATTGCTGATGCCAGATGGATCTTGGCTAAAAGCAAAGAATACAAGAAAGTTGTTTACTTGTGTTTTATTGACTATGCAAAAGTATCTGACTGTGAGAATCATAACAAATTATGGATAAAGTTGAGAAGAATGGGAATTCCAGAACACTTAATTTTGCTCATAAGGAACCTGTACATAGACCAGCAGGCTGTTATTTGGACAGAACAAGGGGATACTGAATGGTTTAAAATCAGGAATGGAGTGTGTCAGGGTTGTATCCTTTCACCATATTTATTCAATCTGTATGCTGAGCAAATAGTCCAAGAAACTGGACTGTATGAAGAAGAATACAGCATCAGGATTGGAGGAAGGGTCATTAACAACCTGCGATATGCAGATGACACAACCTTACTTGCTGAGAGTGAAGAAGACTTGAAGCACTTACTGATGAAGATTAAGGACTTCAGTCTATGGTGTAGATTACATATCAACATAAAGAAAATGAAAATCCTCACAACTGAACCAATAAGCAGCATCATGATAAATGGAGAAAAGATTGAATTTGTCAAAGATTTCATATTACTTGGTTCCACAATCAACGCCAATGGAAGCAGCAGTCAAAATCAGAGGACATATCGCACTGAGCAAATCTGCTGCAAAAGACTTCCTTAAAGTGCCGAAGAGCAAAGATATCTCTTGGAAGATTAAGGTATGCTTAACCCAATCTATGATATTTTCAATTGCCTCATATGCATGTGAAAACTGGACAATGAATAAGGAAGACTGAAGAAGAGATGATCCTTTTGAATTGCGGTGTTGGCAAAGAATACTGAAAGTACCATGAACTGCCAGAAGAATGAACAAATCTGTCCTGGGAGAAGTGCAGTTGAATGCTCCTTGGAAGTGAAAATGGCCAGATTTTGTCTTACTGACTTTGGTCATGTTGTCAGAAGGGACGTTTCCCTGGAGAAAGTATGCTTGGTAAAGTGGAGGGTCAATAAGAAAGGGGAAGACCCTCAACAGGACAGATTGACACAGTGGCTGCAATGATGGGCTCAGGAATAACAAGAATTGTGAGCCCGGCACAGGACCAGGCAGTGTTTTGTTCTGTACATAGGCTCACTATGAGTTGGAGCTGACTCCTTGGCACATAACAACAAGAAGCATGATTTGTTATATTTTTTATACAAATGTAATATTTAATTTAATATTTTATCAGGATATTTGTGTCTATGTTAGTGAATTAACTTCAAACTGATTTTTCTTTTTGTTCTGGAATTCCGAACACCATCTGGGTTCAGTGTTAAGATTATAACAGCCTCATGGAATGAATTGGAGGAGTATTCTCACTTTTTCTATTCTTTAAAGGATCTGACCAAAGATTAGAGTGATCTTCCCTTTGAAAGTCTGATAGAATTAATTTGTCAAATCATTCAGGTCACTTGCTTTTTCTTTTCCTTTTTTTTGAGAATCTTTAGTTTTGATTTAATTCTTTTAACTGTGGGGCCCTTAAAGCTTTCTAGTTCTTGAATCAGTTTTGTTAAGTGGTCATTTCGCCATTGTAGAAGTTTCAAAATTTAGTGACATGAAGTTGGAGTCTTTGCTCTACCTATAATTTTGTTCTTCTTTTCCTAATATTATTTATTTGTACTTTCTCTCTTTTTTCTTGAGTAATCTCACCATAGGCTTTCTTCTTCCTTTTCAGTGAAGACATTTCCTTTTTTTCATCATCTTAATTGTAACTTTGTTTTCTACTTCATTGATTTCTCCTCTTCCTGTGTTATCTTCTTCATCCTTTGTTCTTTGGGTTTAATCTTTTCTTAACTTCATGTGTGGTATATCTAGCTTCTTAATTTTCAGCCTTTCAACTTTTCTAATATAGGAATTTAAGGTATAAACCTTTCTACATACAACTTTTACTGCATTGTGAATGTTTTGTGGTGTTTTCTTCATCATATAGTTAAAAGTACTTTTAATATTCATTGTGATTTCTTTTTTGACTCATGAATAATTTAGAATGCATGTATAAATTTCTAAATATTTGAGACTTTTTGATTTATTGTTAACAATGTCCAACTTAGTTGCATTAATCTATATGATAAAAATTACTTGAAATATATTGAGATAGAAACCGATCATTTTGTAGCTGACGGGTCTTTCAAAGTGCAGAGTCCATTGTACTACTAGAAATGGAAGTCCTAATCCTATTCTTCCCCTCTGTCTCCAAACTTCTCATTCATCTTATACCCTGAAACAAAACAAAACAAAACAAACAAACAAAAATGAGATTGAAATGTTGAAGATACTTTTTTTTTTTTGACATTTGGAACTCAAATTGAAATTAAGTTAAATAATAGTATTTTAAAGCAATATAGATCAATATATGTATTGCCAAAACCTTATATATTATAAATAGAAATATGTGTGCATATTTACATATTTAGGTACAATATGTAGATTACTTGAGAATTTTGAATTTGGTTGTTGTGGGTTCAAATGTTACCTCTGACGGTTAGTAGGTATATGTCTTGGGGCAAATTACTTAGCCTCTCTATGTCTTTTTTATTTTTTCAATCTGTAAAACAGTACTAGTTACATCTCAGTGTTGTAGTGTGGATGAAATAGATGTAAAGTACTTGACATAGAGGGACCATTCAATAAATGTTAATTATTATTATCACTACTCTATAATAGAGGAGCTCTGGTAGCCAGCCTAGTGCCTAAAGCACTTGACTGCTAACCAGAAGGCTGGTGGTTCAAACCCACCAGCCCCTCCTCAGAAGGAAGGTTGGACAATCTACTTCCGTAGTGTTACTGCCTCGGAAACCCAAGGAAGGGTTGCTGTGAGTTGGGTCCAACTTGATGGCACACACCAACAACAAGAACTCTATAATAGAAACTTGATTAATATATTTCAGTTAATAAGTGACTTATTTTACTTAGCAGTTTTACTCTACTTTTTATTTGTGCAAAACTACCTTATTTGGGGAAAATAACTTGATAAACATTTAAGGTGTTAAATAAAATGACTTAAGTATTTATGAGAGAGTCTATCATCTTTTACTTTGTAATAAATTCCATAGCCATTCCATGTTTAGAGAAGCACATTACAGATTCAGATTTAATTTCATATAGTTGAATATGAAATTGAAATTAAAGCTTTCCAATTTAAATATTTTTGAGTCGACTTACCATCAGAGTTTTAGTCATTTTAGGAAATAAGCAGTGGCACTCTTACTTCAGAGAATGGTTTAGATGAAGACCGCAAGGTGTTTAATAGTCATTTATGGAACAAATGTTTTCTTTCATGCACTATGTTTTATAGACTATTATTCATGCACACTTACTTTAAATGGCGATTTTTTTTTTTTTTTTAAAGCAGGGTCTCTCTTCAGTGATCCTCTCTCTGGAGCACCACCTCAATACTTACAGAGACTTTCTAAAATGGCCGTACTAGAATATGACACCATTCGTCAAGAAACAACCAGAAAATCAAAAAAAAGCAAGAAACATGAACTGCGAGACTGCTGATAAATAATATGTAGTGTGATGTTTTCTTCACTAACTTCTAATGTTTATTTTTCTTTTTAATTATACATGTGATATGATGTGCAATGATTTACGTAAATATAGAAATGTAAATAGGAAATAAATATTTTGTTATTTATAGAATAATTTGTATTTTGTTACTATTACAAAGAAGCATTTAAGTTAATGGCTTATGGAGACATACGCATAAGCAAACAAACAAAAAAAAAAGAATCCATGAAGTTTGTGCTCACTGATGATGTATGTCTTTGGAATTAATTTGAAAAATATTTTTAGAGCACCTGTCTGTATAATAAGTTTAAATGTTAAGAGTTATAAAGGACTCAAAGAATAGTAAACCAGTCCTTATGGTTGGGACTAGAAGGGGTCCAGTATGAGTCTTTATTTTTCCCTACTTGAGTTTGAAAACAATTGTGAGAGAGGAACTCAAGCAAACGAAGATGAATTATTCAGCTCTGCTAACGAAGCCTGGGTGGGGCAAAAATGGACCTCCTCCTAAAGTTGAACTCCATGCTTGAGCAAATATACACACCCAGGTATTGTTGACAACCTCAAGCCTTACTTGAGATTCCTGAGCAGAACAGGGTATCTCCCCTGTGTACATAAAGCAGATGCTTCACAGGAAAGTAGGGGAGGGGAGGGAGGCTGTCTCACACCCGGCTGGTCCTTCTCAGCCTGATGACTTGTTCCATCTCTCTGGGGAGAAGAGGAAAGTATGTGGATCAAGAGGAAAACCCCTCTGCAAGAAAGCTCAAGTATATAGAATTAGTCTCTACACTCCTGAGAAGCACGGAGAAATCAATGCTACCAATGATCACTCGGTGGAGAATAGGAAAAACGCTGTGAGAGAACTACAGGTGTTGAAAAACAGGCAGTAACATCCAGTGCAGAGGAGCCTGGGTGAGGCAAAGTGGTTTGTGATGATCTGTTAATGGAAAGGTTGGTGGTTCAAATCCACCAAGTGGCTCCACAGGAGAAAGACATGGTGACCTGCTTATGTGAAGATTACAGCTAAGATAACTCTATGGGGGTAGTTCTACTCTGTCCTATGGGGTCACTATGAGTCAAAATTGACTTGACAGTTAACCTGAAGGTTGGTGGTTAGAACCTGTGCAGGCAGTCTGTGAAGGAAGGGGCTGGCGAACTGCTTGCCTAAAGATTACAATGAAGAAAACCCCATGGAGCAGTTCTACTCCGTAATACAGCGAGTCACCACGGCTTTGAATCCACTCAACTGCTACGTTTGTTTTTGGTAACATCCAGCAGGGGTAGTCAGAGAAAACTTTGTGGAAAATGCAGTGTTTGAAATGGCCTTAAACACAGGAAAAATGGAAAAAGAGGGAATTTCTAGAAAGATGGAGTAACATATGCAAGGCATTTGGGAATAATGCACTTGACTGGAGCATTGGGTAATCATGAGCAATGTCACAAATTCAAAGGCTTCCAGGAGATAATCTGGCACCGAGTTGTGTGACCCTGATCATGTGCAGGCTGCATGTTTCTCTGACTAAAAGGGCACTCACTGCTTAGCTTTTAGCTCTTTGTACAATGTGGGAACGCAGGTCCAAAGTTGCCAGGTATCCCACCTTTTCATGAGAAGCCAGAATCTTGATTATTAGGTGAATCTTTCAAGTGTGTAAATGTTAGCAACTACTTTAACATTTATAAAGATGAGCCTTTTCTTGTGTGGGCCAAAGAAAATTATGTGTAAGCTGGATCTGGCTTTGTAGGGCTTTTCCTTTGCAACTTCTATGTCAAAGAAATCAAGGGAGATAGGGCTCAAAAGAAGAGTTGATGACACAGGGTAGGGAACCTCAGATACCATGTGTGACTTTATATTTAATCTGTTTCACAAAGGAATAAAAACAAATTGTTGTTGTTGTTATGTGCCGTTGAGTCGGCCCTGACTCATAGCGACCCCTCCTTGGGTTTCCAAGGCAGTATCACTATGGAACTAAATTGCCCAACCTTCCTTCTGAGGAGTGGCTGGTGGGTTTGAACTGCCAGGCTTCTGGTTAGCAGTCAAGTGCCTTAGGCACTATGCTACCAGAGCTTCTGGAAAACAAATTATTGTCTCATTATTGTCTCTCATTTAGGGAGATTCACCTAGTATAATTTGTAGGATAGGTTGTAATGGGAGAGGAGACTGGAGATAAGAAACCAAGTAGGAGATTTTTATGGAAATCTAGATAAGATTCACTGAAAGTTAGAAGCAGGGATGCAAAGGAGGGAACGGCAATTTTTTTTTTTTTAAATCAGATAGGAAAAATCAAAAGAAGCTCAGATTTCCAATCTTAGAATAAAAATTTATAAAGAAAATGCTAGTTTTCAGAGTTTCTAGGGAGTAAGAAGGTGGTGCAACTTTGGGTATATTCAATTTAAGGTGCTATCAGGACATCTACATAGAGCTGTCAAACAGGCAGTTGAAAAGCAAGACTGCAGTTCTGGAAAAAGAAATACAGGGTAAAGTTAGAATTTTGAGAAACATCTTTTTATAATCAAATTTTCCCTGATAAAAAGGTAGAGAGAGAAAAGAGCACAAAACTACAAGAGATTGGAGATAATAAGACAAAAACAGAAAAAAAAAAAAAAAGCTGTTATGGATGTGGGAGGATGAATATATTCCATACCCTTGCATACTTTAATATTGATGTGCATACTGATTATATGATATTTTATATATTATTCTATACAAATACACTATTAGTATATGTATATTTGCATACTTTGTCATAGATTTTGATTGAAAATGATTTTAGATATTACCTGTACCTTTTCTATCTTCTCATCATCTCCTTCATGTTGGGGATAATGAAGCTTAAGCAAAGATATTCAGTCACAGTTCATCAACATAAAAAAGTAAACAGACATGGAGTCCAAATGATGGTGGAAACTATTTTTCATGTTTTCCATGCTATCAGCTGGAATCGGGGAAACAAGAATCCCTGCCTTGATTGAATGGTCAGGTATGTCTAGGCAAAAGAGAATATACCCATGACTATATATAAGGTTGACAGATGACATTTCTACATATGTGTTTGTATGTGCTGTAAGAATATCCATATAACTAGAGCTAACAGGGGACAAAGTTATGATAACTTCTTAGGCACAGTCAACCACCCTGATGGAGCAAGTTGTTAGACCTGTGGGCTCGGGACAATGGTCACAGGGAACACCAAGCTCAATTGGCATAACAAACTACACAAAAGCATTGTCCTACATCCTACTTTGGTGAGTAGCTACTGAGGTCTTAAAAGTTGCAAGTGGCCATGTAGAGCAGTAGTGGGTCTCTTCTTGTCCAGAGCAAAAAAGAATGAAGAAAACAAAAGATGCATGGAAACAATTAGTCCAAGGGACTAGTGGATCTCTGAACCTCAGCCTATATGACCATAAGACCAGAAGAACTAGATGGTGCCTGGCTACAACTGTCAACCACTCAGAAAGGGATCAGTGCAGGAGATCCTGGATAGAGTGGGAGAACAATGTAGAACAAACTCAAAATCATAAAAAAGACTAGGTTTACCAGTCTGATAGAGCCTGGTGAGAGCCTGAGACTATGGGCCCTAGTTACCCTGCAGGTTCTGAACTGAACTCACTCCTATGGCTTCCAGGCAAACAATAGACAGGGATATGGGGTGAATATGTACATCAGGTATTTATACTCCTTAGAATGATCAATCTTGAGAGAAGAGAAGGGCAGTATTTGCACAGGGAAATAGCTGGAATGCATAGGAAAGAAGGACACAGGGAAGAGGTAACTACAGGGAGAAAGTGGGAAGAGAGGTGTTATATTGTGGGAAATTGCAGTCAATGTCATGAAACAAAATGCGTATGAACTGCTGTCTGGAAAATGCATTTGCTCTGTAAACTTTCACCCAAATCACACACACACACACACAAGAATCCTTGTCTTCTCCCTTGGTCTCCTTTCTCTTCTTTTATCCCTCTAGCTGCCTCTTCCCCCCATCTCTGCCCCTGCCTCAGTTCCCTCTTGGTAGTGGGATGTCAAGGCCAGGAGGTAATTTTCCTGAGAAGGTGGGAGGATGGCAGCTTGTAAACAGTTCTCCTTAGAGTGAGCTGGGGTCTTTTAGGCAAACACAGTTTCATCTTGGTATCTGTGAACATTCCAATAACATTGCCCTGATATGTTATTGAGGTAAAGCTCCCTACCCACCATGAGCAGGACTAAGAAAGAAGGAGGTTAGAGGACAAAAGGGCCCATTCTTCCATGCTAAAAATAATCATAATTATTATTAACCTAGTGGCTAGTTAAGGAGCCCTGGTGGCATAGTACCTAATGCATTTGACTGCTAACCAGAAGGTTGGCAGTTCAAACCCAGCAGCTACTCCATGGAAGGAAGATGGTGCAATCTACTGTAAAGATTTACCACCTCAGAAACCCAACTGGGGTTGCTATGAGTCACAAGCAACTCGATGGCAGTGAGTTTGAGTGGCTAGTTAATGAGCATCTACTATACCAATACCCACGGAAACAGCAGTTGACAAAGCAAATGATGTATTGATTGCATTGGGCAAACTGCTGCAAAAGACCTCTTTAAAATGTTAAAGAGCAAAGATGTCACCTTCAGCACTAAGGTGCACCTGACTCATGGTACTTTCAATCACCTCATATGTGTGTGACTGCAGAAGAGTTGATACATTTGAGGTACAGTGTTGGCAAAGAATATTGAATGTGCCGTGGACTGCTAGAAGAATGAACAAATCTGTCTTGGAGGAGGTACAGCCAGAATACTCCTCAGAAGTGAAGATGGCGAGATTTCATCTCACATACTTTGGATATGTTATGAGGAGGGACTAATCCCTGGAGAAGGACATGACACTTGGAAAAGTGGAGCATCAGTTAAAAAGAGGAAGATCCTCAATGAGATGGACTGACACAGTGGCTGCAGCAATGCGCTCAAGCACAGCAATGAATGTGAGGATGACAGAGGACTGGGCAGTGCTTCCTCCTGTTGTATGTA